TTCCTGCAGCAAAACAAGTGGCATTCGTGGCTAGAAGGCGTGAAGCTCAGGCGTTTGAGGGTTTCATATCATCACCTTAGATGTTCAGGAGAAAACAAAATGGGTTTACCTTTTAAGAAAAATGAATCAGAGCTTCCCAAATGATATTCTACTTATTTATGGATAACTAGGTGAATTTTGTTTAAGAATGCCCCCCAGCCCCTGCCCTCCCTCACCCCAGCCTGGCTGCTAGAAGGCTAAGAGCCAGAGCCATCTAAAGAGAAATGGTCTAATTGTAACTAGAGCTTTATTTTGCTGAAACGACAGTATTCAGTCATGGAAGAAAGCAAATGATTCAACTATCAATGTGTCCCACCTCCTTGTTAGTGAATGCGTTTGGAGGCATTTTGGATGAAGACGTAGGAGTTTGTGGTATAGATTTGTTCGCTCCTTGTTTCTCGAGAGCTCTCTTCACTTATTAGCGAGGACTTGTATTAGCAGGTGGCTTTTCTCATAGCTCTTTCCTCTATCCAGGAAGCTTCAGAGTTAATAAAGGAAGCACAATCAGCCACAGCTCTGTTATATATTCCCCATGAGACTTCAGTCCCTTTCTATCTTATTCCTCTTGCAGTTTCCTCCTTTCCAACCTCCCTCTCCCACTCTCCTCCTCCACTATTCCCTCTCCCTCCCCCTTCTCCTCCTTCTAGGATGATAACCTGTAGAAAGGTAGTGAGAAGCCATCTTGTGACTGTCCTGATAAGATTGTCACCAGCATAGGGTTGCCAGCTTTAGCAAACAAAAACACGGGACATCCATTTAATAATTGCATGGGACATACTTAACACTGAAAAATTATTCATTGTTTATCTGGAATCAGGATTTAACTAGGCATCCTGTATGTTACCTGGCAACCCTACGAGTAGTCCTTCTTCTGCTTAACGGATACATTCTGATTTGATTCTTCTGGTCAATAAGAGTAGTATTTTGATGGTCAGTGTCCTGTGGTAAAGTTGAGGTTCATGGTTTCTGTACCTCGAAGATTCTGTTGTCCTGGCAAGTGCAAATCCAAGTAGATATAAATTCAAGTGTTGCGACTCAGCACCTCATGGCAGAGTGGCCGGAAGCGGAAATCCTCCTGGGAGGAGTGCGGGGCAGCCGGGAGCCTGTGGGAAGGGACCGTGGGGAAGGAGCATGTTTCTCAATTACCCACTGGGGTTTAAGAGGCCCTTTAGGAACTGTCACGGGGAGAGAGAGGATGGACATATGGTTTACTGTGTGAAGGCGGTAACAACTTTGACAACTTATTCTTAGCTTAGTCTTCTAGGAAGGCTGTGACCAAATGAAACCAACAGCTGTGTTCAGAGTCAAAACCTGAGGGTGATGACGTGTGAAGATCAGCTAGGAGACTTAGAACCATGCCACTTCTGGGAAGGTTAGGGAATAGGAATAAGTAGGAGATGTGGCAATTTAAGGGAGGAAAGGAGCAGGCTCTGAAGTTTCGGATCCAACAAAAAGAGCTTGGGAAGGGGATCGTGTGGTGCATTTAATGGCAGGGGGTTGTCAGTAACTGAGTGGAGAGTTCTGGCCCTAAAAAGTCATCTTTTCTCTAAAAAAATAAATAAATACATAAAATAAAGACTTTCTAATGTTGTTTTTACATTTTTTTTACTTAAAAAAGATTTTTTTTTAAAAAATCATCCCAGCTGGGATACCATTCTTGTAGAGAAGACCACTGGTTGAAGAGAGTTGTCAGAAGTGGGTTCAAAGTCATGGACACATCGAAGTCCTGGGCTGAGATTGATTTTGGTCAGTGTTTCAGACCTGATTTCAGAAGTGTTCCAGCTTTCTTCCCCTAACAGAACTCAGTGGGACTCAGGGGATGCGTGGGGAGAGTTGTGTTCTCTTCCCAAGGATGTTCCTGAGGGAAATAACCTTCACTTCCACGCAAGTCCCTACCTTTGGTGGTTTGAGTTACACCAAGTTCCAAGGCAGGATTCTGAAGACCTGAGACTTATTGGCAAGGAGTCCTCTACCGTCAGTAGTGCTTTAGGCTCTCCGTTCTGACCTCAGCTAGCGAGGCCTCGGCACTGTCTCCGCTCAGCCTCTCCCCTAGACACGTGCCATGTTGTGGGTGAGGGAAGCACACAGGCTTTGAGGTTCTACAGGGGTGGTCTGGAAGGGAAGCAGTGATGAGGGTCTGTGTAGGGAGCAACAGGCCCTGTGGTTTTTCTGCTTGCATTTTCCCACTGCTGCCCAGCAACTCATGGGTGAGAACAAGGGCTGGCATATGGGCTAGTAAATGCCCTTTGGTCACATAGACCGGTAGAAAGCGAAGAACTAGTTTGGCATGTAATTGGTAGTGTCGAGCGTTGGGCCATTGACAAGGTCCTGTTCCTCCTGAGGGTGTCCCCACACCCCCGTGACCTCTCGCTGGGCCTGAGGCAGGGCTACACTAATGAGCTACCTTTTGCCCTTCAGCTTTCTTCCACTGTATAGCCTGATGTGTTTTGCTACGTGAGTGTACGCCCTAGGCTTGTCTCCCTGGTCTTGATCCAGTGTCTCATCTTTGCACCTCTCTCACAACTCCTATCAGAGTTTGTTTCTGATGGAAGAGGTTCACATGATAAAGAAAACCCCAGCCAGTCCTCACATCAAGATAGAGATGAAAAATGCCACCTTGGCATGGGACTCCTCCCACTCCAGTATCCAGAGCTCACCCAAGCTGACCCCCAAAACGAAAAAAGACAAGAGGGCTGCCAGGGCCAAGAAAGAGAAGGCGAGGCAGCTGGAGCGCACCGAGCACCAGGAGGCGCTGGCGGAGCAGAAGGGCCACCTCCTCCTGGACAGCGACGAGCGGCCCAGTCCCGAGGAGGAAGAGGGCAAGCCTGTCCACCTGGGGAGCCTCCGCCTACAGAGGACGCTGTACAGCATCGACCTGGAAATCGAAGAGGTAACCGCTGGGCCTCCCCCGGCCCTGTCCGCCTCCCAGGTGTCCACCGTGGCACGAGCAGGCAGCTGCCGTTCCTTTCAGCAAACTTCTGTTTTGTGGCTGGGAGTGGTTTTGAATCAATGAGCAATTCTAGCCAGCTCCACCTCTAAGAGGAATATTTCGGTATTTAACAATAGAAATGAATAACAACTAGTCTCATGAGATGCTCATTTTATAAGCAAGGAAATGAAACATTCAAGTGGTTTTTCCAAGATTTTACCCTGAGTAGGTTTCTGGTGATGGTAGTTGTATGTGAGCTGTAATCATTAGTTCTGGTTATTACAGCTCTGTGTAAGCTTCTCATTACCCATAGGCTGTTCACAACACAGAACCTGGAACATAACAGGAATTCTCAGTGTTGTTATTATTATTGACAATTCGGTTATAATTGTTTATTTTTTAACGCAAGTAAAGGATCGTTGTAGTGTGTGATCTTACAGCCCAGGCACACAGGACTGGTGTCTCTCAGAGGCCCTCCTTTAGAGAGTGGCTGGAACAGACATTCCGTGTTCAAGGCGTTTAAAGCACAGAATATGAAAAAAATAAAAGAAAAGAAAGCACAGAATATGACTGGGAGTCAGAACCATGTTGAGGTTATTTCATACACAGGGTCCCAGATGTAGGTATACGTTCACTCATCTAACAGCCATTTTTTCATGACCAACTCTGCCGGCACTGTTTGCAGGGCTGGGCTCTAGCAGGGAAAATCCAGTCAGACACCTCTGCCCTCTTGGAGCTTCCATTCTAGTGGCAAAGACAGCAAACAAGTGGGGAATGTGTTCCAAGAACCTGTAAATTCCTGAGCCCACGTATAGTGTCAAATCCTGGTAATTTTTTTCCTGTACGTACATACCTATGGGAACGTTTAGTTTATAAATTAGGCACAGTAAGAGACTAACAATAATAACTAACTAGAGCAGTTATGCACTGTACTGTAATAACAGGTAAGTGAATTAGGTGGGTCTCTCTCCAGTAATTTTTCTATTTTTCACCCCAAACCTATTCTGGAATCTATGTAACCATCCCTTACTTGTAGGAAATGGCTTGGTGTCCCTTGTTTCAGGGATCCCTTGCTGACGGCCTCATGTGGCTCAGTGCTTTTTGGCGCAACACCTTGCCATTCAGAATATGTTTTCTGTTCATGTCTTCCATCCACAACTTCAATGCCTCTTCCATCTTAACTAAGCGCTTATCATGCACTTGTGGCCACAACTTTTACAGTTTAAGGTGGGACAGCAAAACTAGCATGAATTTCTTTTTCCTTATTCACAGTTTCAAGGATGGAAGATTTGCTCTTACTGTAGATTTTAGTAACCTCTGCATACGATTTTTCCTTATTAAGTTGAGAATTTTTGCCTTTTCACTTACAAAAAGCACTTATTTTACAGCTGCTCTTTAACATATCTAAGTTGCCGACACCACTACGCTTGCACTTTTTAAGTAAAATAAGAGAACACAAGCACTTTGATATGGAAAGAGACATGAAAAGAGTTGAAGTGACTAATGAACAGGGAGTGTATACAGAGTAGAGCTCAGCAAAGGAATGACTCGTGTCCGGGGCAAGACAGAGCAGGACTGCATGAGATTTCATTACACTCGTCAGAGCGCCACACTGTTTAAAACTTATGAATTGTTTATTTCTGGAATTTTCCATTTCATACTTTTGGACCAGTTAACTGCAAGGAACTGAAACCACAGAAAGTGAAACCATGGGTAGGGGAGAACACTGTATATTGTATGTCAAAGGGTGATAAGGGCCGTGAAGAAGAGGTGGTAGAGAGTGCTGGGACAGGGAGCAGGTGGTTGCAATGTAAATAGGTTGCCTGAGGGAAAGGCTTCCTTTAAAAAGTAATATTTGAGGAAAGACCCGCGGGGGTGAAGGGATGAGTCATGTGAATATCTGGGGGAGAAGAGCATTCCAGGCAGAAGGACAAAGCTGCAAAGACCCTGGGGCCTATTACTGGAGCAGAGCGAGCAAAGGAGAGAGTAGTAGATGCCCAGGGCAGACAGGGAGCTAGGTGCAGAGCCTCCCGCAACGACTTCAGCTTTATTGAGTAGGAAGAGTAGCCATTGAGGGTTTGGAGCAGAAAAACGATGTGACCTGACTTATAGATGAGAGCAACATTCTAGCTTCTGTATTCAGAAGAGTAAGTAGGGAAACAGGAAGGAGTCAAGGAGAACAGTTAACCCAGGAGAACATTAGGGGGCCTTGGACTGAGGGCAGTGGTAAAAAAATGTTTACCTACATCACTGGAAGTAGGGAGTGCTGGGTTCCAATGTGTTTATCAAGTCAGCAACTAACTAGAAGCATGTCACACAGACCCAGAGCTAGACTGCAGGGAGAATGAAAAGCTCCCAGCTCTTGAAAGCTATGACCAAGAGGGGGAGATGGTCCTAGGTAAGACCACTGGAAACAACTGGTGGTTGTTTGGAGGGCATTCAAGTCACTTAAAAAATGTGTGTGTGTGTGTGTGTGTGTGTGTGTGTGTGTGTGTGTATATATATAGTTTTTTTTAATAAATTTATTTTTATTGATTTCAGAGAGGAAGAAAGAGGGGGAGAGAGATAGAAACATGATGAGAGAGAATCATTGTTTGGCTGCTTCCTGTATGCCCCTCACTAGAGCTCAAACCTGCAATCCAGGCATGTGTCTGATTGGGAATTGAACTGTGACCTCTTGGTTCATAGATTGACACTCAAGCACTGAGCCATGCTGGCTGGCTCAAGTCACTTTTTTACTTCAGTTAACTCTTTTTTTTTTTAATATATTTTTTTATTGATTTTTTACAGTGAGGAAGGGAGAGAGATAGAGAGTTAGAAACATTGATGAGAGAGAAACATCAATCAGCTGCCTCCTGCACATCTCCCACTGGGGATGTGCCCGCAACCCAGGTACATGCCCTTGACCGGAATCGAACCTGGAACCTTTCAGTCCGCAGGCCGACGCTCTATCCACTGAGCCAAACCGGTTTCGGCTTCAGTTAACTCTTAACAGGCTTCTTATTGAATAGCGATGATCTTGTTTATTGAGGCAGCTCTATCACACTGCTAATCAGCTCTATTCAAGGGTTAGTCCTTATAGTCAATGGTTGTTCACTCTCCTACTTTCTATTGATCCTCGTTCTGCCCTTTAGAGCCCACATGCACAGAACTAGACCTCTTTGAAGAGAGACCATAATTCTCCAGAGCCCCCCTTTAGGGGGAGGAAGGGAACTTAGTGTCCTCTGATGTCTCACTTCACTGTTGATGTCTCTTTTAGTCATCAGTCCATTATCAGAGCAGAGTTTTCTTTGTGGAAATCTAACTGACCTGAGCAGAGATTGAACCAGTGATTTGGTCTCCTCGTTACTACCAGGCTATAATCTTTCAAACTCGTGGACCATATAAAAAACTTTGTCCCAGCCCTAACCGGTTTGGCTTAGTGGATAGAGCATTGGCCTGCAGACTCAAGAGTCCCAGGTTCGATTCTGGTCAAGAACATGTACCTTGGCCAAGGGGGTGTGCAGGAGGCAGCTAATCGATGTTTCTCTCTCATCGATGTTTCTAACTCTCAATCCCTCTCCCTTCCTCTCTGTAAAAAATCAATAAAATATATTTTAAAAACACACACAAAAAACTTCGTCCCACATACTTTTATTAAGTACTGGACACTACTTGGTTCTACAAGGATAATTCCCTTCCTCAAGTTGCTCAAAGCCCATTGAGAGAGACAGTATTCGTTTAAGCAACAAGGCCAAGATCCAACAGTTGTCAAGTGCTGGTGGAGTTGGGATTCAGATTGAGACCCATTTGCCTCCAGAACCCATGGTCTTTCTACCCCACCATTTTTTACTCCTTCCTTTCTGTGAGGCTTCATCCAGTACAAGGGTCTAAACTAACGGCCCTGTGAAATCATCTCTGTTCTTAAGAACTTTTAACACTGCCCATTATTTTGCCTGAAGATATTCAGTTAATCACAGGAGTGGGTTCCCCTTTTATGTGGGATTGGTGGTATAGAGATGTCTCCAATTCTTGGGAATATTTTGTAGAAAAGTGGGAGCAACAGTAAACAGTTTTTATTGAAAATAATGTATAGTCCGTAGAGAAAAAAATCATAATAAAATAATTTTTTAAGAGTTCTGTTTTCTCTTCTAAAAACAACAATAAAATAAACAATAAAAAACCATACATTGCTGTCCTAGTTGGTTTGGCTCAGTGGATAGAGCACTGGTCTGCAGACTGGAGGGTCCCAGGTTTGATTCCATTCAAGGGCACATGCCTGGATTATGGGCTTGATCCCCAGTGGGGGGTGTGCAGGAGGCAGCTAATCAATGATTCCCTCTCATCATTGATGTTTCTATCTCTCTTTCCCCTCTTCCTTCCTCTCTGAAATCAATAAAAATATATTTTAAAAAAACATAGATTACCAACAAAACAGGAAAGAGGTTGGGTCTTTTTAAAAGTGATATAGGATACCTTAGCATCTTTAATTTTTGCAAAAGCTTACACATCTGTTATCTTAGTGTATCTCCACAGAAACCCTATGAAGTAGGTGGCTGACAAGGGAGAAAAAAGTTAAGTGACTTGCTTGGTGATGGGGAAGGCAGTTTCCATATTGATGGACTGTAGTTGATGTGTTTTTCCTCAAAGAAATAGGAAGTTCCTAGAGGTGAGTGGTCAGTAGTCTTTTAATGACCTTCGCTCTCGCTCTGTTTTTTTCCCAGGGTAAACTGGTTGGAATCTGTGGCAGTGTGGGAAGTGGAAAAACCTCTCTCATCTCAGCCATTTTAGGCCAGGTAAGATTTTGTTACTGTCCTTGGCATTTTTTGCTTCGTTCTCTGGACTTTGCTTAGCAAAGGCCTCAGAAAAACTGAATTTATTTCCTGGAGAGGATCAGGAAAGGTAGAAACAAAATGAACCCTTCATCTGCATCTCCCTCCCCCAACCCCATTCCCCACTACATTCCCACCCCTTCACAGCATTGAGTCTGAAGGGAGCTTAGCGATCACCTCTGTGTGTACACTGTATATTACAGTGTTTGAGAGAACAAGCTTTATGTGCAAGGACTGCACAGACTGGTCAATGAAACTTTGTTCCAAGTTATAGCATCCCTCACACAAGACAAACTGTCAACAATCAGTCCCAAAAGGACCCCTGAAATAAGGTAAAATGGGGAAATCAATTCATATCAATTACCATGACTGAAAACAATTCAAAGTGAACAGGTCACCATGCAGTTTCTTCATGTTGGAGGGGAGGGTTCACCATCATTGTATGGATACTCTGTAATACCAGTTGATGTCGAACTGGATTTTTCCCCCCTTTGATCCTCATTTTACAGAAGCAGCTGACCTAGCTAATAGCCTGGATTAATTCTGAAGATGAGTTGGCCTGCCCTAAAATTGAGGCTGTAAATCCTTACAGCATCCTCCCCAGGGGATTCTGAAAGGGCTTTCCACTTGTGCTTCCCTTAATTAAAACCGTTTGCCTTTAGAACAGTGGTTCTCAATCTTGGCATCACATTAGAATCCTTTTAAAATCCTGATTTCTGGGCCTCATCCTCCGGAAATTCTGTTTCTTTGTTATGAGGTGGGGCCACAACATTAGTAACAAAAAAAAACAGAATTTCCGGAAGATGAGGCCCAGAAATAGGGATTTTAAAAAGATTCCCAGGTGACTCTAATGTGCAGCCAAGGTTGAGAACCACTGCTTTAGAAAGAAAGGATGTAAAGTAGCCCATAGGTTGCTGAATGAAGTGTTGGTTCATTCAAGTCATGGGTTGTCTGGGCTCCCATTGCACATAAGCAAGGAGACCTTTGATTTTCTTTGCTGCTGAAGCTACCTGTGGAACAAAGGTGGGGTCTGGTTTTGGGCCCAAAAAGCAACCAAGGAAACTGTCAAAGCTTTCAACTTGATTGTGGAATGTGGGGGGTTCTGTTGGCTTTGGGGGGATGGCTTTGCATTGTGATACTATTGGATGGTGCTGTCTCCCTAGATGACACTTGTAGAGGGCAGCATTGCAGTCGGCGGAACCTTCGCTTATGTGGCCCAGCAGGCCTGGATCCTCAATGCCACGCTGAGAGACAACATCCTCTTTGGGAAGGAATTTGATGAAGAAAGGCAAGGAATGCTTGGTTTCAGTCATGCTCTCTGTCTAGGCTGTGTGAGATGCAAGGCCCCCAAGCCACAGGCTCAACTCCAACCGTGTCCCTGACGCTAGGTCTCTATCTTCTTCAGATACAACTCTGTGCTGAACAGCTGCTGCCTGCGGCCTGACCTGGCCATTCTCCCCAACAGTGATCTGACTGAGGTACAAGCCTTCTGCTCCCGATGGGGGCGTGGATGTAGCAGAGAGCATCCTGGGAGATGAGGGGCCAGGCTCTGCCTGAGTCACCTCCTAGGAGTGCATCTTAAATGCGTGGGAGAAAAACCTACACAGTGAGATCCACTTTCACTGGTACTTTATGTTAGGAAAGCATTTATGCCTTGGGGCAGGCATATCAACACTACCTGTTTTAAGTGTATAAATATTTCATATGTCAGGTGGATTTTATATTTTTATATATATATTTTTAAATATATTTTATTGATTTTTTACAGAGAGAAAAGGAGAAGGATAGTTAGAAACATTGATGAGCGAGAAACATCGATGAGCTGCCTCCTGCACACCCCTAACTGGGAATTT